CCATCCAATAGGAAACACAGAGAAAAGAGAATTAATAAAAATGAAAAAAGCATTGGTAATTGGACTGCTTCAGGTGGCCAACCACATGTGCAGTTGTAGTTCCCAGAAAAAGGGGCAGGGGAAAATATATTCAAAGAAATTAAGTCCAAAGTTTTAAAAAGATAAAAAACAGCAAACCTTCAATACATGAAACATGAAGAAAATTACACCACAGAACATAATAATCAAATTACCCAAAAGAAATGTAAAGAGAAAATCTTAAAAGCAGCAAAAGGTGGGGAAAATACTTTATACACAAAGGACCAAGGGCACAGTAAATCTTATGTCAGAAACAATGCAGGTAAGAAGATAGTGAAAAAATATTTTTAAAGTACTGAAAGAGGAGAGTCAACCAATCATTCTGTACCAAACCTATCTATTAAAAGTAAAGGAGAAACAATTTTACACATAAAAAATGTAAATAATAATTGACCAACAGTCTTAAGTACATCAAATGTTACCAAAAAAAAAGGCTGAAATTAAATGATACTATATGAAAAGATGATATACATAAAGCAACGAAGAGCAAAGGAAAATTTTTTCTTATTTGAATCTCTTTAAAAATAATTGATTAAATGGATTAGCATGTAATATTGGTTTATATGAAATACTATGACATCACATGTTGGTTGACTGTGTGAGGTTAAAAATGTGTAATATATATCCTGAAGCAACCAATAAATAACAGTGTGTCACAGCTAATAAGCCAACACAGGAATTAAAAAATATTAAAAAGAAAATATTTGTTTTGTTTACGCATTGTAAATTAGTGAACTTGAAATCAATAGCAATAAAAACCATCCAATAGGAAACACAGAGAAAAGAGAATTAATAAAAATGAAAAAAGCATTGGTAATTGGACTGCTTCAGGTGGCCAACCACATGTGCAGTTGTAGTTCCCAGAAAAAGGGGCAGGGGAAAATATATTCAAAGAAATTAAGTCCAAAGTTTTAAAAAGATAAAAAACAGCAAACCTTCAATACATGAAACATGAAGAAAATTACACCACAGAACATAATAATCAAATTACCCAAAAGAAATGTAAAGAGAAAATCTTAAAAGCAGCAAAAGGTGGGGAAAATACTTTATACACAAAGGACCAAGGGCACAGTAAATCTTATGTCAGAAACAATGCAGGTAAGAAGATAGTGAAAAAATATTTTTAAAGTACTGAAAGAGGAGAGTCAACCAATCATTCTATACCAAACCTATCTATTAAAAGTAAAGGAGAAACAATTTTACACATAAAAAATGTAAATAATAATTGACCAACAGTCTTAAGTACATCAAATGTTACCAAAAAAAAAGGCTGAAATTAAATGATACTATATGAAAAGATGATATACATAAAGCAACGAAGAGCAAAGGAAAATTTTTTCTTATTTGAATCTCTTTAAAAATAATTGATTAAATGGATTAGCATGTAATATTGGTTTATATGAAATACTATGACATCACATGTTGGTTGACTGTGTGAGGTTAAAAATGTGTAATATATATCCTGAAGCAACCAATAAATAACAGTGTGTCACAGCTAATAAGCCAACACAGGAATTAAAAAATATTAAAAAGAAAATATTTGTTTAATTTCAAATTAGGAGAGAAAAAAAACAACAAAGAGATAGGATTATAGAAAACAAATAGAAAAACGGATATATTCAAACCTAATATTAGTAATTATATCAACTGTAAATGGTTGCAATCTTAGTTAAAAGGCATAGAGTCTCCAATTTAATTCATTTTTAAAAGCAACACCCAAATGTATATGCTGAATAAAAGAAGTGCATTTCAAGCATAGGCACAAATAGATTATGTGCAAAAGAATGAGAAAAGATGTATCACATTATATCAAAAGAAAGCTGGTATATAATATCAGACCAAGTTGATTTGAGAGCAAACAATATTAGCAGGAATAAACAAGCTCATTATGTAATGACAAAGTGGTCAATTCATCAAGAATTAATAATCAAATATTTATGAAGCTGATGATAGAGCTTTAAAATATGTAAAGCAAAAACTGACACACTGCAAGGAGCAATATATAAATCCACAAGTGTGGGCAGGTATTTCAATATCCCCTCTAAAATTAATAGAAATAGGTAAAAAAAAATTAATGATGATACAAAAGATTTCAAAACAGTGCTAACCAACTGGACCTAATTGTCATTTGTAGTACATTTCATCTAACAAATAAAAATACACATTCTTTTCAAGTGTGTATGAAATGTTTACCAAAGTACGCCATATTCTTGAAACAAATCTCAGTAAATTTAAAGGATGAAATCATTCAGGGCAATTAAATTTTCGGACCATGATGGAATTAAATTATTAATTTTCTGCAAACTGATTTGCAGAAACGTCCCAAATAATTGGAAACTGACTAATAAACTTCTAAATAACCTGTGGTCAAATAATTTCTTCAAAAGAGGACATTGCAAAGTATTTTGAAGTGAATGAAAATGAAAATACACATAACAAAATTTGTAAAATGTTGATAAAATAGTACTTTGGGGAAAAAAACATAGCATTAGAAGCCTGTATTAGAAAAGAAAAAAGTCTCAAACCAATGACATTTACTTTTATCTTAAAAAATCTAGAAACATCAACGTAGATTGATCCCAAAGTAAGTGTAAGGAAGGAAACAGTTGAGATCAGAATGGAAATTAATGAAATAAAAATGAGGAAAACAGTGGAGAAAATCAATAAAATTAGGTGGTATTTTGAAAAGATTGATAAAATTGCTAAGCCTTTAGAGAAAGAAAATTACCAATATTGGATTAGAGATCTGATGTGGTATTAGTACAGACTCTACCAATATTAAAATAATATTAGGATAATACTATGAACAACTTTATGGCCACAAATTTGACAACTTCCATGAAATGGATGAATCCTCTGAAAGACACAAACTAAGTTGAGAAGAAATAGGTAATTTACATATCTAGTAAATAAATCCAATTTGAATTAAGCACTTTCTAAGAGAATGCCAGGTTCAAATGGCTTCACTGGGAATTTTGCCAAACATAAAGAATATCTGATTTTATACACAAATTCTTCCAGAAGATTGAAAAGGAGTGTATACCTTCCGAGTTATTCTATGAGACTCACATTATCCTACTATCAAAACAAGAGAAAGACATTGTAACAAAAGAAAACTGTAGCCTTGTATATCTCATGAGCATAGATGCAAAAATTCTTAGAAGAATTTTGGTAAATTGAACCCAATAGCATATTAAAAGGAAAGTAAATTATGAGCAAGCAAGTTTATCACAGAGATGCAAGGTTATATTTATGTTATATCAAAAGAAAGCTGGTATATAATATCAGACCAAGTTGATTTGAGAGCAAACAATATTAGCAGGAATAAACAATTAATAAAAAATATATTGAAATCAATATAATCCACCATGTTAATGAACTAAAAATGAAAAAAACACAATCTCACTAGATGCCAACAAAGCACTTGATAAAGTACAATATCTGTTCCTGATAAACTAGGAATGGAAGGGAATCTATGAAATCATATACAGCTAAACATGATGCTTACTGTTTATTATGGAATGAATGTTTATGGTTCTCCCACCCACCAAATTCATATGTTGAAGCCCTTAATCCCCAATGTGATAGTTTTAGGTGGTGGTATCTTTGCAGATACCAAAACTGCCTGCACCTTGATCTTGGACTTCGCTTCCAAAACTAAGAAACATGTTTGTTGTTTAAGCCACCCAGTCATAATATTTTGTTACAGCAGCCCAATTAGATTAAGACAATGATGAAATATTGGATGACCAGGAATATAACAAAGATGTCTGCTTTCAATACTTCTATATTAACAATGTAGTAGAGGTTCTAACAACTATAGTACTATAAGACCAATGAACTTTGGTACATATCTTGTAACATATAAAATAGTTAACTCAAAATGGATTATAGATGTAAATGTGAAATATAAAATTCCAAGAATATAAAGGAAATTTTTGTGAACTTGGGTTTAGTGAAGATTTCTTAGATTTACCTCCAAATATGTGACTCATAAATATACTGATAAATTGGACTTCATCAAAATAAAAATCTTCTGCTCTTTGAAAGACACTGCTAAGAAATTTAAAAAACAAGGCATAGACTTTGAGAAGATATTGGAAAATCATATATCTAATAAAATATTTGTTTCCAGATATATAAAGAACTCTCAATGCTTAATAATAAGAAAACAATCCACAAAAATGGGCAAAAGATTTGAACAGACCAAATAACATATGCAGATGAGAAGATGCCCAACATCATTAGTCATAGGGAAAATGCATATTAAAACCAATGTGAAACTACTATATCCCTATTAGAATGTCTAAAACTAAAAAGACTATACCAAGTGTTGACAGGAAATGTAGAAAGCAAGTGAAACATTTACACACTGCTGGTGGGAATATAAAGTAGTTTGGAAAAGTGACAATTTCTTAAAAAGTCACCTAAATACCTACTATATGATTCAAACATTCTACCCCTTAATATTTACCCAAGAGACATGGAGACATATGACCATGCAAAGACCATATAAAGACCAGCTGCATGAAAGAAGCCAGACCAAGAAAGTGTACATACTGTATGATCCCATTTCGTAAAATGCAATGAAATTTAAACTGAAGACTAGTGATGTAAAGTAATTCAGCAGATGCCAGGGAGTGGAGGGATTACAAAGGGGCACACAGAAAGGTTTTGGGGTGATGATTATGTTCATTAATATGATTATAATGATTTCACAAGTGTATACATATCCCCCAAAATTTCAAACTGTACACTTAAATGTTTACAGTATATTGTGTATCAGTTATATCTCAGTGAAACTATTAAAATGAAATTATTTCAATAATTATATTTTTATGGATCTCATTGGTATCTTGATGTATATATTAATAAGCATAAAACAGTGGTATTATAATTACATTCAGTCTTCTTTTTTACAGAACAGGTCAATTGGGAAACCTGACAGCTCCTTGCAATTCTTATTGTAGATGCTTATCTTCATTTTATTCTCCTATATGTGGAAGAGATGATATTGGGTATTTTTCTCCTTGCTTTGCAGGCTGTACACACTCTAAAACATTTAATGATCTCAAGGTAATTACTTTTTATTATGTTCCTTCCTTTTCAGTAAGATGTTCAACTTGTAGATGATGTTTGTACTTTACTCCTAGCTCTCTATAAAAGCATTTCCACCATTATTTTCCCTTTTTAAAATTTAAAAAACAAGAACATTTAACTTATGTGGCCACAATACAAAGGGCTTATGGGAATTGGGAGTGGAAAAGATATTCCTACGTTGTCTACTTATTGTACATCATCTTACTTGTATGGTTTTAATGGGTGACTATTGTATGACTATTGTATGGTTTTAATGGGTGACCTCTGGCCATAGCAAAGTTGAAAGAAGCAGTCTAAGAGAATATTTATCTTCCATTTATGTAGTTTATCTTAGGTGTAGCCTACCTATCAGCAGCACCCAATGCAACAAAATCTTGAACCCCCTTTCTCACAGCAGTGGGTTGACCAGTATTCTCCTCCTGGTCACCTTTCATTCAGTTTTTACATCTGCTGAATTCAAAATATCTACACCATACCTTCTTGCTATCTATTTCTGCGCTATGTTAGCTCAGATGTGCAAATCAGTCCCTCTATTATGTACGCAATGATATATTCAAGGCCTTTATAAGCAGACTAGAAGAAAGGTAAGAGAGATTTAAATGGCAACAATGCAAGTGACTTAAACTTGAATATATGTTATCCCTCTTTGTCCTTTTATGCTTACATGAACTGGAACTCTAAAATTCTCCTATTTGGTCATCTTTGATGCCATTATCATCAGAATTCCTTATTTCTGAAAGCTGTCTATCAACCTCTAGACAAATTTTTCTTTATTTTGTCATGCAGAGCAGTTGACCGCTTTGCTACTTCTTTGACTCCAGGTTAATTTTCTTACATCCAAAGGTGCACAAATGAGCTTTTAGCTGAATATGGACTGTAACTTCAGCTTCTCCCTTTTAAGTGGCACAGAATTAGGGACCCAGGTTAAAACATTTCTTCTCTCCTTCTGGCTAGTCTTTGTGAAGGGGGAAGAGAGGATGACAAAGAGGTGTACTTCCTGACCCAAAGAAGTCATATCACCTCCTTTAGTAAGCCATGAAGTCCTCTGTTAGTTATGCATCAACATAGCAATATTTTTTCCCTGTTACACACAAATAATTTTGTTTCAAGATGTTAGAAAGCTTGACCAACTTTAGTTCCTTATAATCATCCTTTCACTGGCCTACAATTTACATCCTTTCAATAGCCTGCAATTCAATAATTTTTCATTGAATATTCAGGTTTTAAAAATATTAATGTTGAGTGTTATTAATTTTAATTCATTTTACATTTGTTTTTATTTTAAATAATTATTTTAATTACCAATTATATTTTGATTAATGTGATATTTATTTTAATAAACTGTAGATGTTATTAATGATTCAATAACTTAAATTATTTAATTAACATTTATGTTAATTAACTTAAATTAATAAAATGTATTTAATTAATATTGAATATTGATATAAAAATGGTTATATCCTCTTTAAAATCCTTTCTTCTTAAATGTTACATATTTAAAATCTTTAAAATATGTCGCTGTGGAAAGGTTTCAATGTCATAGAAAAGCATAATGAACTCCTATGTGCTAATTACCCATCTTCAACAATTTATTAACTTAGAGAAAATCTAACTTTATATGCCTACTTAGTTACTGCTCTCCTCTATTTTAATTTGAAACGAGTAAATGATTTTTAAAGTGTTCACGTTGTCACTACAGCATAAGGCTGAACTCTTTGACCTTGGTGTTTTGATTACATGGGATATTCGAGAGCTAAAAAGGCCATCCTCTTAGCTCCAATCCTTCTTTTCTTTTCTGGAGAATCCCTTTAGGAAATTTTGTTACTGTTTCATAAAAGTCTTTATGATTTCTTTACATTTCTATAAGGAATAATTAACTCATAATGAGTAACAACAATAGAAATAATCCACAAAATAGTAGCTCAAACTGTGTGGTAAATTTTGATACTGAATAAAAACTGAAAGAAGAATACTAAATTTTTGACAAAAATTAAATCTTTGAAATTACCCAAGACAACTATCCTTGATACAAATAATGGCTTTGAAAGAAAACTAACTACAGCAGAAGGAATGATTAGTACAATATAATATGGATGGAACTCATTAATGGATAAAATATGCATTAATTTCAAATGGGAAAGAATGATAACAATAAAATTAATTTTAACAAACTGAAAATTATTTTCATTTAAAATAAAAATTATACAAATTGTAACATTTTATTATTAAAAATAAAGTATATACAAAAAATGATCAATGATCTAAATGGTGTTAATGGAATTCCCTCTAGGAAGTATTTATTCAATGAGAATATGTCAAATTTGAAATAATTCTGATTAAATGTTCATATTCAAAACATCAGAGTAAAGATGAGTTAGAATTGCATGTTCTTCAATTATATTTATGCAAAAGTCTGCAAGAGTTGTAAGATGTACTATACCTCTGAAGATTCTAAATTTCTGTAGAAAATCACAGCCTTACTAAAACTGAAAATACATATCTACTCTTCAATTAACAATATTTTGGGCAGTTTTGCCTCACTGAGACCCACATGTATTATTCTTATACATGCTACCAAAGATCTTCAAATTTCCTCCTAGAAATATGAAAGAAATCTTGGGCTTTTCTTCATGACCTGACCGGGACTAGTTCTTTTCAGTAGCAAATTGAACTTTCATTATAAATAGCAGGATCAGGAATTCTTCCAAGGCTGCTCTAGTCCAATAGGAGCCTTTTTCTAATTATCTATACAGGGACCAATTCAGCCAAAGCATTAGGGATTACAAGAAGCCAGGCTTCAGGGTCTTTTTCAGTTGAAACATCCTTATAATATTTTAACTTCATTTACTCACCTACCACCTTTTTGTTATTTTTGTCTTATATTTTATTTCTTCATGTATTTTTAAATGACATATACTATTATTATTGTTTTGTGTAGTCAGTATGCACTTATATTTTCCTGTTGCTTTGCGTTTCCATGTTTTCTTTCTTCATGAAGAACCGCATTTTACTTTCAGTTTTGGAAGAAAAAGGGTTTCACTGAGTATGGAATTCTATATTCTCTTTCCCCCTCTCTGTCCCCACTCCACAACACCCTGGCCTTAAAGAGATGCCATTATGTTGTCTTATGTCTCTGACTGCTTGGCTGCTTTCAAGATTTCTCTTTGCTTTTGGTTTTGAGCAGTTTTACTTTGATGTGCCTAAATGTGGTTTTCACTGTATTTATTTTGCTTGGATTTCACAGAACATCTTTAGTCTGTGAATTTATGTTTATCATTTGGAAAATTCTGTTATTTTTAAATTTGTGTTATATCTTCCTCTCTCTCTTTCCTCCTTTTTTGGGGGAAACCATTTATTAATTTACCATTGCTGTACAATGAATTAATTACCATTGGCTTAGTGTCTTTAAATAGTACCTATTTATTAGCTCACAGTTCTAATGTCTTAAGTACTGACAGCATGACTGGGTCCTTTGCTCAGAGTCTTACACACAGGCTGGTATCAGGGTGTTGACTGAACTGTATTTCTTTCTGGAGCCTGTAGGGAAGGAATTATTTCCAAGCTCATTCAGGTTATTGGTCATATTAAATTCCTTTAGGCTGTTAAAAGTGAGGTCTCTTGTTTCCTTGCTAGCTGTCTGCTAAGGACCAATTTTCGCTCTTACGCTCTTAGAGGCCACCTCCTTTCTTTGTGAAATGAATTCCTCCGTCTTCAAGGCTAGCAACAGAGACTCTCTCTTATATCACATGCTTTGGATCTCTGACTTTAGGGAAAGCCCTGTACCTTTGAAGGCTCACCTAATTAGGTGAGGCTTACCATCTCTTTCTTAAGTCAACTATGGCATATAAAATAACTTTGTAAGGTTAGAAAAATTTGTCAATTCACAGTGCTAGGAATTATTCATGCCATATATAATGGAGTAGGAATCTTAGGTACCATCTTATAATTCTGCCTAATGGAGACAACAAATAGACTTTTCCACTCTTGTCTGTATTCTTTTCTCTATTCTCTATCTCTTTTTGTGTTTGTTTAAATGTAGATATTATCTATTGACCTGTCTTCCAGTTACTAATTATATATTCTGCAATGTCTGCTCTGCTATTAAATCCGTTAGCTAAAGTTGTAAGTTCATTCATTGTGTTTTTCAGTTCTAACATTTACGTTTTTGTAGAATTCAAAAATCCCTGGTGAACCACATCATATAAGGTATTTTGTCTATGTTCCATCTATTTTTTGGAAATTATTAATCATAGCTATTTCAGAGTTCTTGCTATTAAGTGCAACTACCTGGATCACCAATGAATCTAGTTATATTTGTTCTTCTTTTAATTTTAAACACATTATTCTTATCATTGTTCATTCCTTATAATGTTATAGTAAATCCTGAACATTGTACATGAAAAATACCTCCTAATATAATTATACAGTTCTCTATTTTGGCTTCATGTGTTTTTCAGGCTCGTTATTGTGTGCATACACATTGATGACTGTTACATATTGGTGAATTGTCCCTTTCGTCTTTATAAAATGTCCTTTTCCATCTCTGGTAGTACAGTTTGTGTCTTGAAATCTATTTTATAAATTATATAGTCACTCTACCTTTCTCTTGCTGATGTTTCCATGGTGTGTCTTATTTCTAAGATTTTATTTTCCAACTACTTGTGTCTATTTAAAACGTGTCTCCTGTAGCCAAAATATATGATTTGTCTTTTCAATTCTGTTAATCTGTTTTAACCGGAATTTTCAGACTACTGACATTTTTTCTTTCTTGCTACTCCTTTTTTTAAAATTAAAGTATCATTGATAAGCAATCTTATGATGGTTTCAAATACATAACACAGTGGTTCAATATTCATCCATATTGTCAAGTCCTCACCACCTCTGCTGCAGTCACTGTCTATTAATGTAGTAAGATGTTGTAGACAGACTACCGACACTTACTGTAATTACTGATATAGCAAATATTTAAACTTTTTTATTATTTGACTTGAAATATATTTTACTATTTTGTTTTAGTATAACTTTTGGCATTTTAGTTATATCTCTTTGAGTATAACTCCACAGTTCTTCAAGCCTTCCAGAGCCTATTATCTTTTGATTCTACCATCTACTCACAAACCTTCTTCATATTTTCACTTACCCCCTTAGTCAGCCTATGTTCTGTGGCCTGCAATCATTTGCTGTACTGGATATCTCTGTCTGACCTCCAGACCCACTTTTTTTTTTTGATATATATATATTTTTATTTTGTTATTATTAATCTACAATTACATGAAGAACATTATGTTTACTAGGCTCTCCCCCACCCCAAGTCCCCCCCAAACCCCATTACAGTCACTGTCCATCAGCATAGTAAGATGTAGAATCACTACTTGTCTTCTCTGTGTTGCACAGCCCTCCCCTTTCCCCCACCCTCCCACATTATACATGCTAATCATAATACCCCCTTTCTTCTTCCCCGCCCTTATCCTTCCCTACCCTCCCATTCTCCCCAATCTCTTTCCCTTTGGTAACTGTTGGTCCATTATTGGGTTCTGTGATTCTGCTGCTGTTTTGTTCCTTCAGTTTTTCTTTTGTTCTTATATTCCACAGATGGGTGAAATCATTTGGTATTTGTCTTTCTCCACTTGGCTTATTTCACTGAGCATAATACCCTCTAGCTCTATCCATGTTGCAAATTGTAGGCTTTGTTTTCTTCTTATGGCTGAATAATATTCCATTGTGTATATGTACCACACCTTCTTTATCCATTCATCTACTGATGGACACTTAGGTTGCTTCCATTTCTTGGCTATTGTATATAGTGCAGCAGTAAACATAGGGGTGCATCTGTCTTTTTCAAACTGTAGTGCTGCATTCTTAGGGTAAATAGCTAGAAGTGGAATTCCTGGGTCAAATGGTAAGTCTATTTTGAGCATTTTGAGGAACCTCCATACTGCTTTCCACAATGGTTGAACTAATTTACATTCCCACCCCCAGTGTAGAAGGGTTCCTCTTTCTCCACAGCCTCGCCAACATTTGTTGTTGTTTGTCTTTTGGATGGTGGCCATCCTTACTGGGGTGAGGTGATATCTCATTGTGGTTTTAATTTGCATTTCTCTGACAATAGCGATGTGGGGCATTGTTTCATGTGTCTGTTGGCCATCTGAATTTCTTCTTTGGAGAACTGTCTGTTCAGCTACTCTGCCCATTTTTTAATTGGATTATTTGCTTTCTGTTTGTTGAGGTGTGTGAACTCTTTATTTATTTTGGATGTCAAATCTTTAGCGGATCTGTCATTTATGAATATATTCTCCCATACTGTAGGGTACCTTTTTATTCTATTGATGGTGTTCTTTGCTGTGCAGAAGCTTTTCAGCTTGATATAGTCCCACTTGTTCATTTTTGCTTTTGTTTTCCTTGCCTGGGGAGATATGTTCATGAAGAAGTCACTAATGTTTATATCCAAGAGATTTTTGCCTATGTTTTTTTCTAAGAGTTTTATGGTTTCATGACTTACATTAATGTCTTTGATCCATTTTGAATTTACTTTTGTGTATGGGGTTAGACAGTGATCCAGTTTCATTCTCTTACATACAGCTGTCCAGTTCTGCCAGCACCATCTGTTGAAGAGACTGTCATTTCCCCATTGTATGTCCATGACTCCTTTATTGAATATTAATTGACCATATATGTTTGGTTTAATGTCTGGAGTCTCTAATCTCTTCCACTGGTCTGTGGCTCTGTTCTTGTGCCAATACCAAATTGTCCAGGCCCACTTTTAACCTTTCTATGCTCCTCATTTTTATAGGAAACTGAACTAGAGGATGAGAGCTCCTTTATCCTGGTTTCTGACTGGATGAAAGTAATAAGAAATCCTACTAGAAAATCAGAAAGACAAGAAAAAAAAGTGAAATCATTATGTTTATTTCTTGGTTCCCTCTCTGAGCCATGACTGACTACTTCCCTTGACTAAAGGTCTTAGTTTCTCTCAGAGAGGCCCTCTCCACATGACTGTTGCCTTCTGGGAACCATTGTTACCCCAGGACCCTTCAGCAAATCCTTTCAAATCTACTTTCAAAATAAATGCTGGGTCTGGCTATCTGACTATCTTCATTTGGTCCACTACCACCCTGGCCCCAATTACCATTGCCTTGCATCTTATATTTCAATTGCTTTTCAATGATTCTGTCTTCTTTACCCTTCTTTCCATAGTTCAATATAGCAGCCAGAGTGATCTTTTAAAATATGTCATTTATATAAATAATTTTCCAATGGTTTCACATTACTAAGAGTAAAAACCAAAGTCCTTAAATTGCTCTTCCACTTATTTACTAATTTATGTATAACTACTTTTCCCCCATTACTCTGATGTTTTTTCTCTTAGTTTCCTTCATGTTCATTCTGCTCCAGCCACATTTTTCTCCTTGCTTTTCTTTGTACTTGTCAAGCAAGCTACAGGCCCAAGGCTTTTAAATTTCTTTGTGTGCTTTTTTCCCCTACCTGGATTACACTTCTTTCAGATTACCACATGGCTCACTCCTTTGCCTTCTTCAAATCTTTGCTCAAATATCACTGCATCCTTGAGATATTTCCTGATTATGCTGAGTTCACCCCTGTAATGCCTATATTTTTTTCTTTGCTTTCTTTTTCTCTCCAAAGTATTTTTCATCATGTGCTCCACTGTAGGTGCTATCTTTTGTAATTGCCTGCATCATCCAAGTAGAAAGTTCCTTACCTGAAGGCAGGGATTTCTACTGTGTTGTTTACTGTGATTTCCCAACACCTAGAATGATGTTCAGTACATGGGTACTAAAAGAATATTGTGGAATGAGTGAGTTGCAATTTGAGTATTTGGATATTTCTATTTGTTATTTAACATATCCAGTAAACACTTTTCAACTTCTCCAGACAAACTGACGTTATGTTTGTACCATGATTTTTTGAGTTATTCAGATTCAAGCCATCTTTGTTTCCTCCTATTTCTTCACTAGTAATCTAGTTTCCATATTTCTTTTGGAATTTTTTGGAGTTTAGAGTCTTTTCAATAGATTAATAAATCACTAACTGGTCTCTATATCTCCAAGCTCTGTTTACTTCTTTTTAGAAAATATCATGTATTCATCTTTCTTTAATTATCAACCTTACAATAACCTCAACTTTTCATTAGTTCCCATTCAGGGCTATGTTGTGACTTTCACTGACTCTAGACAGTTTTGCCTTTGTAAGTGCCTTCCTTCACACAGACACACAAATATATATAATGTATAACTGCACTGACAAGACAAATATCCAGGTGGGACTCATTATTACATATTTATTATTATTATTATTATTATTATTATTATTATTATTATTATTATATGATTTTTAAAAAAATACTACAATTAAAACATTTATGAGGCCCTGAAAGTATTGTGGGCCCTAGGCACTATTCCTTCTTTGCCTAATACAGAACAGCTCTGTCATCACTACAGACAGAATAAAGTTCTATCTGTCAGCATGCGTCTAAAACCTTCTACAGTAAGAGTAACATGGTTAATTGTCCATATTTCAAATCCCAGCTAAAATTTTATTTTATTTAACACGTTTTACTTAATTGCCCCCAATTTATATAGCTGTCCAAGAATTACTTGTGCAATTGAATGTAAATATTTTTGATAAAATTTCTTAAGTTAGAAGAACTTTTCCTAAGTAGCTGTAATTACGTGCACATACACACACACACACACACACACACACATTATTCTTTGTTAGGCATAATACCTTGGGACTTATTAATGTTTCATTTCTGAATAGTGAATGGCATATTTAATATAAGAATATTTGCTAATAAAACTGGTCAGTCTGTTGTTACTGATTTAAATTTTATTTTACAATAATAGGTTTTGCTTTATGACTGTATTTTAAAAAAATTGTTCCCTATTATTTTCAGGCATACTACAATTATTCTTGCATTAAGGAAGGATTAACAATTTCAGATGATGAAGGTGAACTTGTTGATGCTAAACCTGGGACATGTGATGCAAAGTGCTATAAATTACCTCTGTTTCTTGCTTTTTCTTTTTCTTCAATTGTGTTTTCTGAGTTTTCTGGTGTACCAAGCACCCTGATTATCCTTTGGTATGTATATATTACTCATAATCTATTATTCATTTAATATGTAAGAAAGGAAATTTTAGGAAGATTTAAAAATATTACAGTATATAATTTATTCTTCTGTTTCAAGAAGCAATTGCTAGAGGGAAAGATTGTTACATTATCAAAATTCATGTATATGCCTAATTCTCTGTTTTAACTAATTTCATTGCATAAGTATGTAGATATCACATTTAGTTTTAATTAATTAAAGAACTAATTTAATTTACAACATGGAAAATTCACATAGGAAAATTGTTACATCATCAAAATTTATGTATATATGTTGAATTCTCTAATTTACTTGCATAAAGGGTATAGATGTCATATTCAGATTAAAACTAAATTAATATACTTAATTTAACATACATGGAAAATTCATAAACATAGGGAAGTTGTTAGTTATAACACAGATGTGGTATAATATTGATTCATTAGTTTGGGGTATTTATTGAATATTTACTTCTATATTAGAAAATTTGACTATGAGAAAACTTCAACATCATCAAAAAAGGAATGTAACTTTTAGAATTTTAGAATTTTAGTACATAAATTTGTTATTCCAAATTAAAGCAACATTTGTTATTAATTTGTTCTGCCTGAATATGTGAAAGTTATTTTTTATATTTATTTTTTTATATTTATATATTTATATTTGTTATTTATTTTTACATTTAATATTTATTTTTATAACTAGCTGAATAATTGGTCATTATTTTCAAATTAGTTTTTTCAAGATCTAGCACCTCTTTAATCATGAGGAGTAATTTGTTATACAGTGAATCAGCTTTTTTATTCATTCATCTGTGGCACTGAAATTACAGAGATCAGTAAGATATGGACCTTGCTATCAAGTTGTTTACAGAGTTTAATAAGTGGAGCAAAACACATAAAAACAAGTGAAGTGAATATTTAGAAGTTCCTTAATTAAAGTCTGTACAGACTTTCTGAGGAACAAGGAGGAGAAAATGGTAATTTTTATCTGGGATGCTGTGTGTTTATAAGGATCTGGAAATCCTTATAGAAGGTCTGACACTTGAATTGAGTTATGAAGATAAGTGATTTCTCATAATGCAAGCAGGCTGGGGACATGTTTTTACAGGAAATGTGAGCAGTAAAAGTAGAGGTAAAAATGTGTGAAACTTCTCAGCAAAGAGTTTGTCATGACAGGAGTAATGTGATGGTGAATGGGACAAGATGTGAACTCAGTAAAAGCCTGACTATGGGAGACTTTCTTTGCCATGTTAATGTGAATGATGATATTCTGTGAATATCTAGAAGCCACAGAAAACAATAAGCCACAGGAGTAAAAGTGATTAAGTATGCATTTTAGATAGAGTTCTTTGAAGATAGTGTGGAAGAGAAGTAGAGGGGAAAAACTGGAGAAAAAGGAAGGTACTTATGAAACCATTTTGGAATTTAGTAGTGGTGTTTAGAGATAGACATGATAGTATATTTGGGAAATATGTAGTTTGGGTAAAAGGGCAAGGTTATTACTTTGATGTTCCTGGTACAAAATATGAAGAAATTTAGGATTAAGTCCAGATTTCTAGTCTGGGGAACTAAATGAATGATAATCCATTAACTGAGATAAGAAAATTCAAGGAGAAGAGAAAGCTCAGATTGATGACAATCAGTACAATGTTGAACATGGCTTATTTAAATGTCATGTCAAGTATCCATGCAGATGTTCCCAGCAGTGGGCAAAGAATGATGATAGTAATATTTCAAAGTTTAGCTCTGAATCTTCTCACTTTTTCCAGTAACTATACATAGCAATATGGATAATAAAATGCACACGCATGCACTTATGCACACATGCACATAGATGCATATGCATATAATATTGTTTCAATGAAATTATGAGATAGATAAAAATGACAAAGTTGGAATTGCATGTAAATATTGCCAAAATTGAAGCAGAACTGGCAGCCAGCTTGTAAATTCATGAAGATGTTACAAAGAATAACGGTAAATGTGGAGAGGGTCTCGGATTGACAGACCTCAAATATCATTTTGCTCAGAAGGAGAGGACCCCACCTCAAGGTGTAAGGTGTAAGAGCAGGACCTATGTAGATAAGTCAAGGGAGAATCTTTCTGAAATGAAAGAAAGAAGAAGCTTGGGAAATTTCCAGGAGGTCCAGACATGGCAGATCTTAAAAAATGCTAGCAAAATATACCTTCTGCAAATGAACATATAATCTTGGAAAGTTAGAAATTTGAAAATATCTTAAGAGCCCAGGGCTGAAAGTAGAGGTTCTTTTGAAGTAAGGCATATTTGGAGAGGCAGAGGAAGTATAACCAGGCATATGAATCATAGTTAAGTCTTCCCCTATATCAACAAAGGATATAACTCTTAAGTTTTGAACTCTTATCATTTGTAGAAATTATACCCCATGTTCCATTCCCATAATATTCTGCCTCTAGATTAAGAAAATTCATCTCATTCAACTATGAGTAAGTAGGAAAGGAAAGGAAAGGAAAAGTTTCACCTATATACAAAATAATTATAGTTAAAGAAATGAAACTTATTAGCATTAATTTCCACAGACAATGAAAACTTACTAGAAAAATGTTACCATGTGTCAGATAAAGATGTAAATGAAACTGTATGTAAATTTAAACTAGAAAAATTGATCATGGCCATAAGAGAAAAAGAACTAGATGAAGGAGGCTATGGAATAAAAACAGATAGAACTCAGGGAAGAAATTAAAGGGAAAAAATTCAGAAGGGAAAACTAAATTATAAAACACACAAGGAAGAAAAGACAACACAGAAATTAAGCATGGGTTATAGAAAGCAAAACAAAAAAGAGAAGTGGAGAAGATGAAATAGAAATAAGAAAAATGTATTAACAAAAGAGGCATATATAGAAGATAGTCAAAGGAGGCCCAACATATACATAATTGGAGTCCTCAAGGAAGAAAACTAAAACAAACAATAAATATTGAAAGCTATATTTAAATTAAACTACTGAAATAATGATATTTAATAGATACTGGAAAAATAAGAAATAATGAATAAGTACTGTAGTAAAATAAGATTTGAATTTACATATTGAAATGGAACATCAAGTATATAGAGAAATTGACCCAGAACAGTCAACACTGAGATAAACTGTAGTAAAATTATTGTATTAAATGGGGAAGAAATAATCCTTTTCTTATCCAAAAAAGTGAAAGCAAATAAATTTGGCATCAGATAACTCAACAACAACATTCACCTCCAGAAGACTAGAGAGACACTTAAAGGAACCTCAAAGAAAGAAAAAGTTAGCTAATTATTTCTTCATCAACAAACTGCTGTACAATTATGAACAGCTATGATACAAAATAACCCAGGAAATATTATGAGATACTCCTTAAGGATCAAGCAACGCAAGATATGATTGGGAAACTTTGAAAAAAGTTCTGGTATTGAGCATTGAATATGTTAAACTAAACAGATTTAACTACTTTTACAAAATGTAATTAATTTATACTAGAACTAAGACAAATACTAAGCTGAGCATAAGGTGACAAAATAGAGTGAAATGTAATATGCTTTGATAAAGTAGAAATTACCCAAGTAACAAAAATGGGAGAAAACAGGGCAGACAGATCAAAAGAAGGATAAGCTTGCTGGCTGCCTAGTAGATAATAATTGGGGAATCAGGAGATATCACTTTAATAGATATTTTATTGAAGTGTAATATATATTCAGAAAGTACACAAATTGTAAGTGTACAGACTGATGGATTTTTACAAAGTGAAGACACCTATGTAACTATAATCTAATTCAAGAAATTGATCATTTCAAGTATGCCAAAAGTCCCTCCCTAATTCCCTTCTTGTCACTTACCCCTTCATCCCCAAAAGTTACTACTATCCTAATTTCTATCATGAGTAGGTTAATCTATACTGTATTTGAGCTTTATGCATAAATAAGACAGACACAATGCATAGTCATTTGTGTCTGTGTTGTGTTACTCCATAATGTGCTAATGAGAATAATTCATATTGTTGCATATGAAAGAAATTCATTTTCAATGCTCTATAGCAGTGTCATCCAATCAGATTTTCTAAAATAATGGAAATGTTCTTTATCTTTGCTGTCCAATTTAGAAGCCTCAAGCCACATGTGCCTATTGAGCATTTGAAATGCAATTAATGTGAAGGAGGTACTAAACATTTAGTTTTATTTAGTTTTAATTGACATAAATTTAAGTAGGCACATATGGCTAATGGTCACAATATTGCACAACATAGTTTTACAGTAGTCCATAGTAGGAATATACTTAAATTTGTTTATTCCTTCTACAGTTAATGTAGTTTCCAATTTAGGGCTATTATGTCTACTCTTTCGATGAACATTCTGATACTTTCGGGAATTCTCATTCTTTTGGGAAATGTGTGAATACATTTCTATTGAGTACATATATAAATGGAATTGCTGAGTCATAGGGTATATATATATGTTAAGTTTTAAAATAAATTTAAAAAGTATTTGTAGAAATTCATGCTTCTAGAATCTGTTGTTTTTAAACTCAAGCAATTTTGATGGGTGCATATATGTTTAATTTCATTGTGATTTCAATTGCTACATTCAGAAGACATGTTATTGAACATATTTTCCTTTATTAGCTATTTCCACATGATATGCAATTTGTCAAATGTCTGCTCAGTTCTTTTATCTGTTTTTACATTGGGTTGTCCTGCTTATTACTGATTTGCAGTTCTTTATATGCTTCAAGGGGCAGGTCATTTCCCATATATATTCATGACAACTTTTTTCAACTCTACTGCTTGCTTTTTCACTCTGATAATGGCATCTTATGAGTAAAATAACAAATTTTGGTGAGGGAAAAAGGGAGGAAAAGGGAGCCCTCATGCACTGTTATTGGGAATGTAATCTGGTACAGCCACTATGGAAAACAAAATGGAGGTTCCCCTAAAATTAAAAATAGAAATACCATATGACCCAGCAATCCCACTTCTGGGTATTT